GAGCTGTCAGCTGAACTCAGAGGCAGAATCCCAGGAGATACATCGTCAGAAAAAAAAAAAAAAGTCTCAAAATCTGGCTTGGGTTGAATTTGACATATCATTCTGCAGCACTTTCTCCAGCTCTGTGCTGCTTTACTTTACTGATTCCAGCCAAACTATAGTGAACAAGGTAAAAATACACAGGTATTTCTTGTAGTGCTGTGATGCCCGCCTCTGCTGACAGCACTATCAGGGCTACATCAAAAGACTCAGGAAAGAAGAGCGCTCTGGGAGCATCAGTCTTTCATGACTGGAGTTCACTTAGTGGTGTTACCAATTTGGATCAGATTTGAAGGAGATCCAGAAAGATCTGAGAGGTTTTGTCTGAATCCTCTCCGTCTCTTTACGTACAGACGCTCGCCGTCGTGGAGGAGCTGTCCGTGGTGCTGCAGTGTTCTCAGGCTCAACCTTTCTGAACCTTTTGACTGAGTAACCTGTCGAACTGGAGTGCGTTTTAACAAAGCGACCACGCAGTTTAATGACTGGATGGTGAAGCTGCAGCTAATGAACATTTATTTTTAACAACATTGATCCTTGGACCTTTCCTCGGGGCTCTTTGTTTGTTTGTTACCGTCAAAGTGTACCCTTTGTAAACAGCTTCAAGTCTCACTAAATTATTGTTTTATATTGTGAATGGACAGGTTTTACACAGCGCCATCTACTGCAAAACACACACTTTAAATTGTAAAGCGTTTTAATAATAGTGAATTAATGACATGTAAATATTTAGTAAAAGCCTGTGGGTGAAATGTTAAAGTATTAATGTATGTATATGTACGATATCTACCACGGTGTTTCCATGACGTTTCTATAGGAACACTCAAAGTCTCATCAGCCCGTGGGAGTCAAAGTGTTGCATGTTGTTTTCATCCAAGATGAATGAAAACAATAATAAACCATCCTCCTGCTGGAGACTGAGGAAAGAGCAGCCGTGATTCTTTCCATGTCATCTGTTGCAGAGCCGGTTCTCAGCCTGGAAACTACCAGGATGATGATGTGTCTCCAGGGACGGGGACGCCTCAGGAGAAAGGCAGCTCTTAATCATGAGGGACCCAGTTCTCTGGCATATTCACAACGCTGCGCGCTGACCTCACACTGCAGAAGAACGCCGGGGTCGCCTGTCTTTGGCAGAGCTGAATGACGCTGACTTGAAAATGTTTAAGGCTAATTTACTATAGCTGACACGTGTTAGCGCGGGGCGGTTCACCTGACAACATTTGTTGTGCACCAGGACGGTGAATGTGGCACGAAACTACGAGAGAACACAGGTGCACGGCAGCACAACACTGGAGAGAGAGCGAGGAAGAGAGGGAGAAATACAAGTTCATGTCCTGACTTGTGGATGATGACGACAGAAAAGAAAAGAAATAATAAAACAAAAGTATGAAATGTGCAGAAGAAGGTTTAGTTACTACTAACTAGGGTTAAGAAATGTTGAACTACATTTATTCATTAGTTAATTCATCTTTTACCACCTTTTCAGAGGTGGGTATTGGGGGGGGGTGTCACCAACCATTCACACTCACCTTCACCACTTCACACACACCATAGTTTGAGAACCACATTTTTTCACCCAATTAAAACAAATTGCACCAGAGATCTGCTCCAGCATCTCCAGCTGTAGAAACTTTAACGTAAAAGTGATTAAAGCTTGAAAACATCCGTCGTCTAAACACTAGAAAAGATGATGATGCATCCGGCAGGTTATAGATTAACTAGTTAGTTAACTAGTTAGTTGAGGCTATAGTCTGAATCCTTCGATGTCTCCTTCCTCCCTTTAGTTCAGTCAGTGTAAAAACACGCTGAGCTTCAGACTGACAGAGAGGATCCGTCTCCCTCCTCTCCATTAGGCCAGTCACTGTGTACACTATGTTAGCCCGGTGCAGAAGGAGCAGCCAGGAGGTGATGATCATTTGTTACCAGTCAGTCAAGAAGCTTCACGGCACACACAGATATCAGGTGAGGGAGGCTGAGGATTTGTTAGTGGTTTCAGGTTTAATGGACAGAGAGAGAGAGAGAGAGAGAGAGAGAGAGAGAGAGAGCACCGGGGATTTCATCAACAACGTCTGTATCCACTCCCTGATCATTGAGACGGAGAAGCAGAAGGAGGGTAAATATGAGGGAGGAGGGCTGAGTGAATGGAACTTAGATGTTCTTAACTACATCTTTACTCTGTGGCTTTTAGCTTTATTACATCTATGTCGTCTTATTTACTGGATCAAACACCTGAAGAGACTGATGAACTAAATCCTGAATGTTGTGGATTGTGGGATCGAGACTTTTTTTTCCCCATTGTTCCACCAAGTGGCCAAGTAATGTATTACTTATTAATTATATTATTTATAATGATAATGTGAAGAAAATTTTTGAGTGGTTGTTTAGCAGAAAGCTAACTTGTTAAAAGTGTTATAGAGAACATGACACTTGGTGTATGGAATATTAGCTTCTCACACCCAAACTGTTTTTTTTTCTTATCTTTCTGTGTCTTTATGACCAAAACAGAACTCGTGAGGAACTGAAACTGAAATCTTTTCCATATGTTGTTTGAGAAAACATGATGAAAACACTAGATCTGCAGAAGTTTGTCAACGATGCTGCCAACTCTGAACTAAAGCATAAATACGTCCTAAATGTTGCCCGGTCTCTGGCTGTTGACCAACAACCAACATCTAATGCTGTGCCAGACAAAGTACCAGACTCAGCTCATTAACGGTTCTAGGGCGGGCCAAAAAAAGCTTCTCTTTTTCATTTCCTGCCAATTCTCCAAAGTCAACTCTTCTGTCAGATAAAAGGAAGAGTCATCATGTCACTCCTTTTCTACACAGGCAGAGAAAAATGTGTGAAGGGTTTTATATTTTTATATTTGTAAAATGCAGCTGGAGCCTGTGAATTGCAGGCGTGGGTGAAGTGAAGACAAAATCCAGCACTTGATGCATTGACCAGTTTTTTTTCTGCTCAGTGGTTGACCCCCAGGGGTCAACAGCCAGCTGGGTTCTGGAGTCTTATAATGTATTTATGTGTAGTTCAGGGAGAAGAAGGTTTTTAGAAAAATACAAAAGAACTGTCTTTCAATATTTTTTCAATATTTCTTATTTTTACCAAAATAAATTTAAACCACTGACAAAATAAAAGTATTAGTAATAAATAATAATAATTAATATTATTAACAATTTTGATTTTTTTTTTTACATTGTAGCGTTTTCTGTGTCGCAGCTTTTTATTTTTCAGTTGTGTGTCATTAGTGTTTGTCCTTGTATTAGTTTAACTGTTTAACTGTAGTTGACTCACAGATGTTGTTTTTTTTTAATGACTGGGACTAAAATGAATTTTCCTTGTTTTACAAGAAAGTATTCACTAATAAGACTGAATAATTCCAAGGAATGGAATCCAATTAGCTCCACTGTTTTCTACTGGGGTAGTTACAGCCAGAACACTTTGCACCGTTTCTGTCCAGTCAGACTTTGGTTTGTCTTTGGTTTGTCTTTGGGCGTCCAGTTGTCTTACTGCTGACACTCAGTCCAGGATCAGTTATTGTTCTTCAGTGTTGATTGAACTGTTTCTGTGGTATGACTTGTGGGGGGAAGAGAGGGTGAGGAGGGGGGGGGTACCCTTTACATTTTTATCTTTTAGATTTCACACCTTGTTGACTACATGGGTGAGGACACAGGTTTTATTGCCTGGTGTCGCCTCTTTATTACAAACACTGACATCCTGTCGTCAGGTGATCAGCATTTGGCTTTTATTTGGGTATGTATTTAATCCCCCCCCCAACACACACACAAAGACCGTTTCTTGAATTTGTGCTGCAGTCAGTTGTAAATCTTTTCTTTTTCTTTTTCTTTTTTCGCTCACTGGTTCCTGGGGCGGCCAATGACGTTGAGGAGGATCCTTCATCCTCAGGTTTCATGAGGAGGAGATAAGGGTCGCTGACTAATACACTGTCAGCAGTTGTTTGTTGCATTAAACATTGATGATATGTGCTGTAATGCATGACAACTGGTGCCACAGTGAAGTAGGATTATTAGTTATATAGTTAACGGGTTAAAAACACAGAATAATAATGACAATACCTTAAAAATAATAATTAAAAATAATTTTTACATTATTATTATCAGCAGCTCAGTCAGAGGTCAAGAGGTTTGATGACCTGTACAGGCTACTACCACTACTGGAGTGACTAGCAATGTAGCCGATGGTGGTCGTGGTAACCTTGAAAATATGATCTAATTTAACATAGAATTCCTCTGTGAGTGACGAAAACATAAACATTCAGACTAGTAAAACGGGCACAGCCAGAATTAATTCCAGTCTAACATTTTTCTCTTCTCAATCCAGATTTTAAATTGGTTATTTAAGTTTAACATTCCTAACGTTTGGTGATGGAAATTACAGACACAATACGGCTTCACAACATTGAAGTCCTTTAGGGAAATACAAATCAATGGGACAACGCAAACCCATTTAAAGTTGTTTTTTTTTTTGCTAACCAACTCTGAGCCCACAGCACATTCTTCTACACTCAGTCTAAAATATTGTGACAAATTATTCCTGCTTTTGCTGTATCCTGTGGAATGATATCACAGTTTGTGTGTTAAATAATTTCCACACATTTGCTCTAAAATGACTATAGAAAAGCTGTTTAAACAAAATGTCAATTGTATGAATCGTTTAATCGTTGAAAACGCCTGTGAGACACGTTCTAGTTTTGAAATATATTCTAAGAATAAAACGTCATTAGGACGTTGACAGTTCGTCTGACCCAGTATTGAGAAAAAATAAGCTCGTGATAGAAAGGAAAGTAATTGTATGTTGTTAATTAAAAAATATATCATTTGTGTTCACAATGCTGCGTTCAGACTATTTAAAAAATCATTAAATTAATTCCTTTTTATATGCACTTGTGCATTTGCTACATTGGTTCCCCGCACTTTTTTTTTTTTTTTTAAACAATGTGACGAATCTGCACCTGCTTACAAAACGCAGCGCTTTAATGTTGATGCTGTCGGAGCGTAAAGAACGCTTTTTTTGGGCTGTTCTGTTTCAGGAAAGATGTCAAAAATAGACATTTTATCGACGCTGCAGTCGAGACGGTGCCATAAACCGGGTGGAGTTTCCATCTTGTGGTGAAAGGCTCTCTACAAGCGCCATGTTTTCCGTAACAATACCTGAAGTTCACGCTCCAGGTAAGAGTTTTCGACACTACTCTGGCGCTGTGTTAGTTTAAATACTTCTAATTAACTTTAAGTCTGATTAAAATTCACCTTTATATAGTATCTTGATTTCAAAGGAACTGATAATGACTGAAAGAGCTGATTAATTGGCTGGTTTTAATTTTATGCACAATACAATTCCCTATATATTGCAGAGTGTTCTTCGTGTTGTTGACCTAATTTGATTGTATCTTTAACGGTTTAAACAGTCGTTTTCAGTTCTACAAAGGGCAACAGAGTACAACGGTTTAAACAGTCGTTTTCAGTTCTTCAAAGGGCAACAGAGTACTATTAATAGTACTATTATAACTGCATTTTCAGAAAAAAATACTAAGGAATAAACGTGTTTGCATTTTCAGAAAAAAATACTAAGGAAATTTTAAATAAACGTGTCAGAAAAACAACAAAACCTAATTAAATGATTGTGCTTTAACCCTGTACGTGATATTGGTTATAAAAAGGGTCTCTAATCTGCTGTGGTGATGTTTTTCACCATTTTATTTTGAAGGTAGAAGTTTGTGTGTGTGTTTGAGTCTGTTTTTTGTTTTGTGTGTGGTGTTTTTATAAATTGGTCACGTTGCCACAGCAACCAATAGCCGTCCTACACACATCACAGTTTGTGATTTTTTCCATTTACAGTTGCCTTTGCGCTCTTACTCATTGCAGCCAACATGTGTGCTCTGTGCCACTGAGTCACTTGACAGCCCGATGCCACACAGCAGAACAGAGGACAAGCAGGAGGAGGAGGAGAAGCAAAGTGCTCACACACACATCATGTACATGTAGGCAAGATGTTCTCCAGTGTCAAAATGAGCTTGATCACGATGCTTCACTGATGGCAATTAAATTCTCAAAGTACGTAGTTTAATTAAAATGAGAAATCGAAGCAAGGAGAATAATAAAGCAGCATTCACTTACACAATAGTCTGAAGAACCGGGCTGAACATATTAACGTAACAGGCTAACAAATTAAACAAGTTCGCAATCTTTGCCTATGCCAGATTCCATTCATCCATTCCTGTGTCGCCTCTAAACTATTCTGCCACCAGTGGAAAAAGGTCGGGCTGTTGTCAGACTCAACATCAGCATCGGTTCCAGTTCCGGTCCATTTTCTGTTTTGGCTGAAAATGTTACAAAACTGCGTTCGCAATTCTGTAGTCTGGCCTTTTCTTTTTCTTCTTTATGGGAGTCTTGACTTGATTTGACTTGTCATATTTTGGTGGTGCATTAGCTGCGTTCACCTGTCATCAATTGTAGAAGGTGCACTTTAGTGGCCATAGATGATATGGTGTATATTTTGATAGCAGTGTATAAATCACTGTGTAATATAAGGCACAGGAGAATTTAGAATATGTAATTGTGCTAAAAAAATTGTGAAGGAGCAGCGGGCTGACGTGTTGGCATGACTCCTGTGGGGACATTATTTTGGAAAAATACTTCTGTTTTTGGGACACTTGGTCATTTTGGAGTTCATAATTTGCTTTAATTCAGATAACAGTTGTGGTAAAGATTAAAATGAGGCGTTTATTTATAATAGTCAAGGTCAGGTTGTGCAGCCAGGGAATTAATTGTGTTGATCTGAAGTAAAACAGAAAAAGCGTATGTGTTTCTGTGTGCGGGACAGAGGAGTTGTGGGGGGTCATCAGTTCAAAAGTAAAATTGCTAAGGGAAGAAAATGTCTCTGAATCCATTGGTCCAGGCTTGAATTCTCCTGAGATGACTGCCACTCGGCAGGACGGTGGACAGCCGGGGTGGCTGGGGTCAGCGAGGATTCGCTGTACTTTCCTTCTGTACCACTGACTCTAAAGGTTCTGGATGGCTGGCAGCTGTGACCTGGTGATGCACTGCACTGATTTTAGCACCCTCTGCAGAGTTGCCTTCCAGGCCGGAGCAGCTGCCGTGGCAGGCAGTAATGTTACCTGCCGGGATACTCTCAAAAGTACATCTGTAAAAGTTTTTGAGCATCCTCGCATCCACGCTGAATCTCTCCAGACACAACAGGAAGAGAGGCTGGTGTCACCGCCCTAATGGCAGCATCAGTGTGGTGTGACCACCTGAGCCCCTCACTGTTGTTAATCCCCACTACTCTAAAGCTGCAAACTCTCCACTAATATCATTTTAACACATAATGATGATTATTTTCTATGGACGATCATATTAGACTATTGCCGTATGTTAATGCGCTCAGTTGTTTTTGTCCCAGGCAGCTGATGACGCCTGTGTTTGAAATTTGGATGGAATATGGGCTGTAGACAGAAAGTAAGGAGAATGTTGTTTGATGGAAATTATAATAATGTTTCTTATGTATATTTTTATATTATATATTATTATATTTATATTACCATATTTTCTGGACTATAAGTCGCACCAGCCAAATAAAAAAGCATAATGCAAAAAACATATATAATTAGCTCTGGAGTATAAGTCGCACCAGTGCCCTCTAGCGGCTGTCAGTGTGAAAATAACAAACATGTAAAGTTATATATTTTAATATACAAGTAGCACCTGAGAATAAGTCACAAACCCAGCGAAAGGATGAAAAAAAGTGCAACTTATAGACTGGAAAATACAGTATATGGGTATATATGTATAAAGACATATATATTTTTATATGATATTTATATTTGTATTAATGTACCTTAACATGTTTCAATTTATGATTTGACTTAGGTTATATATGCACTGTGTTTCTGTAATTCATATATTTTTATGGTAAAATTATTACAATCGTTTCTTTAATAGCTCACGCCCATAAAGGTGAAATATCAACACAAATCTTCCCCAGCTACAGTCTGCAGATGTAGACTCTATAGAATTTTCATTATTTCCGTTTATTTAACTAAGTTTAATCACAACACATATTTGTCCATGCCATCTGTTTCCTTTGTTGTTTTTTCCCCACACAGTAACTGTAACAATAGAGGGGTTTCAATGGCTTTTGCTTTTGAGAAAATAATAACAAAAAATAAAGGTCCGTCTTTGACAATACAACTTAATCACAAGAGACACGGTGAATAAATAAGGATAATTATCTTATTATACAGGAGACGTAGGGATTATGAATGTTTGGTGTTGAAAACCTTCGGCACTTACACTCCGGAGGCAGATTTCAATCAGGAGGCTTCAGCCCTGAGCAGCTGCTTAATCAATTCTACCATGTCATTCCAGACACGTGCGGTAATGGTTGAGTCAGATGAGGCAGATTAATCTGTGACGTCAGTGAAGAGGTGGCAATGGCAAACTGAGATGGACAGAAACGTATCCAGTAAGTCTTGGTCTTTACCTACTTTAACAACAACTGCCCCACGAGGGCAATCAGACCGTCTTGGTCTTTACCTACTTTAACAACTGCCCCACGAGGGCAATCAGATGCTGAGCTTAGTAGGAAAACACACATCACTGGCTGAGCTGTGACCACATGGTTACGGTGAAACGCTTTACGGCAAATCAGGTCACTGGACCGGCACGTTTTCAAATATGAGTTGATGTATTTAAATGTAAAGGTATTTAGTAGATGAATACATTAACTAAGATAATTATATCTAGAAAATTATTATTGAACAATATTTCTTATTTTTAGTAATACACAGTGTCTTTGACACTGTATATTTTGTGTATTTGCATTGTATAAAAACAAACAAAACCAAAAACTCTATTTATTCATAAATACTTTAAAAGTAAACACTTCTCCAAACAGTGTCTTTCCAATATTCTGTTCTTCAGTGTTTCTGTTGGCGAGAGCTTTTTTCCACCGGGTCGTAAATTGCATTCCCTTGTTGTTTGAAATCAAGTTCCTTTTCAAATGTACTTTCGGTTTTATAAATGGTAAAAAAAAAATTGCAAAACATTATTAAATTCAGGTTTTGTTAAAAAAAAGTCTGATAAAGTTGTTTATTTTTTAAGGGATTAGAAACCTGATTAAATCAAAGGAAACGCAGCTCAACACCTGACAGAATTAAAATGATTCTAGTCATTAAAGTCAGACACCTGCAAAAATGATAACACATTTTTTTAAAAGTTTTTTTTTCTTGCCATCATATGTTTATTAGCATAATGCTAATTATGGATAGCTTCATACAACTTTCTCTTGCAGTATCAGAAGTTGCAGTATCAGAATACTGCAACTTGGAGTATCTGCCAATATATATATATATATATACAATATATATATATATATTTGACCAACATTGGACCAGTACCAATCCTGAGTATCGACAAGTATTAAAAAGCCCATTTGTTTATAGTGTGAAATATATGTGATACATCTGAAATACATACCAAACCAGTTGCTTTATTTACACATTTCTTCAGTAACGATTGTAAGAGTAGGGTAATATTATCTTACTGTAGTCCATTCTTTCACTCACCATCACTCATACTAGGCCATTAGGCAAGGTGGGCAAGCCACAACCACAAACTGTCAGCTCCTGAGAAGGCAATCAGCACAACTCATGCAAGATTAACAACGGGAAAGGCAGCCAGGGAGAGGGGGAGGACGAAGGGGAGGCAGCTGGGGGAGGCCCAAAAAGGCAGGCTACCATCTCCCGCCACAAAACTTTGATCAGGTGCAGCATGTGCCACTGATGATGTAACACAGAAATCATGTTTGCCCTTGAGTGATGTTGACTGACGGCTTTTCAAGCACCGTGAGTTGGTGCCAATCTGTGGCTACGCTATATCTGATAGGAGCCGTGCACTTCTGCAGGTTTGAATTATTGTTCTACCCACAATTCCAAGAGTCGGTGCAGCATTTTCAGAGAAAACAAAGTCGCTGTTTGTTTACTTCACAGAGCCAAAGGAGCCGTCGAAGTTGGAATCTCAAAGCTGCTACTTAACAATACCTTCTTCAGCAGACAGCACAGTAAACCTTTCTTTTCTAGCCTCCATAAGTCTTACAGACTCAGAATCAGCGTGTGCACGTCAGCAGCATGTTAGCGTTCTGCTGCGTCATTTGCATCTGTTGTTTACACTTGAATCTTTTCTAGCCCAGTTGGTGTGTGGTGTAGTGTTTTTATTGGTTTGAAAAGGGCCATAAATTGTGTCGTCTAAATGTCACGGTACAATATGTACAGCTCTTCACTATGATAATGTCTCGGTGGTATAAATATTGTGCTACGTCTGTTCCTTGAAATGTTTTTTATTGGTACGTTTTGTAGGTGAAGGTGAAGACCTTCTGCTGTACTCTGGTCGAGGAACAGCAACACTCATAATAAGAGACGTGTGTGACACGTGCGAGGACAACCTCATCAGTTAAACTGATAACAGTAAGACACATAACTTAACTGATATGTGACATTCCAAGTTGTGTTCACGATGTAATGCCGATGTTTGAAGTATGTTCAGACTTGGACAGTCTCTAGGTTATATCTGCTCTATATCTGAGTCGTAATAATCTGAAATGTCTGCGTAGGTTCTCAGTCACGTCATCATATCCAAAAATAGTTACATCCAGGGCAACTGGACGGGATCCTGGTTAAAAATGTTTCTTTCAAAATGACTGGTTTATATCCAGCCCTAACGTCCAGTTTTCTTAAACAGTCTATAGTCCCAGATAATGACTCAGCCTCATAAGAAAGAGGTGAAGTAATAATTTGAATTATTTTTACAGTTTTTGTGCTGAACCTGTTCAGAAAACCCACCGTACACAGGTCAATACCGTCCATTTCAGTCTTTGATGATACCTTTATTATCTATTATTTATTTTGAAGACAAAATGCTTTTAGACAACAAGTTTGAAGCCTTGTTGTCTATAACAGAACATTGGCAGTGAATAGACCTTTCTTTTAAAGAGGCCTCTCTACTGAACCTTGTCTGGCTCTAAGTACACTTTAGGACTCACCATCTTGTCACTCCACTGGGTGCTGCAGCAGACGCAGAGTTTAAAAGACTTTTAATCAGTATTTTTAAAATAATTATTTTTGACAGATGCTTAAAACAGTCACAGTCACTCAGGTTAGATGCAGAAAAAAAACTCAAAAAAACATTGCTGATGGCAATTAAGTAAACAACAGCTCATAAGTATGCACAGGCACGTCCTCCATTGTTGTATTACTCTCTTCATATTACAGTCATTACCAGCACAAGTAATTAGTTATGGTTTTCATGAATATTTCATGTTGAGCGAAATCAGTCTTTAGTCAGAAAAAAAGTTTGGACGACTTTAAACGTCTCACTGTCATCAGTTAAATATTGACTCTAAACTACAGCCGATGGTGACATGTTGGTCTCACCTCTGCCCCGTGTCGTCCCAAAACCAAATCCAACTTTTGACATGTTATTGACACTGACCACAGCAGCTCAGTCATTAAATGGCAGACATTTCAAGGTTCTGCAGAGCAAGGTTTCTATCTGAGTGCAATAACAGCCACATATAGTCTTCAGAATCAAAGTGCAGGGTTTTTTAAAGTTAGCATTAGCACAAAAACGCGTGCTGTGTACTTTAAAGACGTGTCTGGTCATGGCTTAGGAGCTGCTGCACACACAATGCCAAGTGTCAAATGGAGTGAAAAACATTTCACATCCAGGGGTCCACAGTTATGGGAACATTTTCACTGCAATTACAAAGTACACTTTCTATGTGGCAGTGTAACAGACCAGTGTGATAAAACTGTTCTGCAACAAAGACCATGTAATGGGTGGTTTTTAGAGAAAATGACAGATTCCTACAGTGAGTCCTCACTGAAACTTTACTGATCAAGAGATAACAACAAACGGTCTAACGTCTGACATCAGTATCTTAAATCACAGATGTATTTTTCAGGGCAGTGGTTTTTCAGGTCAACGTTGTACACTACCATCTAGGGCGGGTGTGTCGTACTCCTAGACCGGTCCATTGGAGTTAGAGTTGCATGAATGCACAAAAACATGTTACTGCTGCGCTGAAAATGAAAAGTGTTGTAAAAAAAGTCAATCCAGTTCAGTACTTCGTCTCCAACACTTTCTTTTCTACCATCATTAAAATGTTTGTGTGCACATTAAACCAGCACAGGGAAAAAAACACACACACAATGGTTCCTTCGACCTCGCATTAGGTTTTATAGACACATCTAACTTTCATTTTCAAAGGCTAGCCTTTGAAAAACATCTTTGGACTTGAAAGTCACAGTTTATATTTTACTGCATCCTCATGAATTTAGCAGCTGTCTGTGCTACTGTTGGATGACAACATCTTCAGAAGCCTCTCTTTAGGAGGTGCATGCTTTTTTTCATTCATTACTTACAAGTCTGGTAACTTTCCAAGACAATATAAATATAGATACACTCTGCCTCCCTTCTGTCTCGCTTCTGTCCTGCTGTGCAATTTGCCTCTTGCCAGCAACATAACACACACTGATGCAGGCAACTTCTTTTTTTCTCTCTCTCTCTCTCTCTCTCTGTCTTCACCCGTAGATGAATACAGTGTGAGAGTGTGTGTGTGTTTGTGTGCTTTCGCTGCTTTGTTCAAGTCAGATTTGAACCACAATGGCAGATAATCAGCACCATAACCAATGAAAAATAAATCTTTTTATTTTTCCGTTGACGACACTTTGCTTTTCTTTTCTCCTCGCCTGCCTATTGTCTCTCTTCTTTTTCTCACCTCAGGTCTGATAGGCCTGCACATGACATCATGCAGTTTTGATGGCCAATTACAGAATTGATCCTGAGCTCAGCATGCATTTATCAGTGAGGACGGTGATGCATATCAATTAGCTTAAGCGCAGACAAAAATAAATAAATAAATACATAAAATAAAAAAGACAGGAAAACTCTGTCCCCGCGGCACGTTACTAATGTCTTTCATTTTGGAGCTGTTTTGATGTCAGGGTCTGGCAGCTCTGCAGGATATAAACTCACTGATCACTATTGTATTTGATTTTCCTTGCGGTCAAAGGAGGGCAGTTTCTGACCTTTCCCAGAGGCGCAGGGCTACATAATGGATTATTTCTGCAGTGTATGTCCTTCAACACCAGAGAGACTGTCGTGACTGTTTCAGCTGTGAGAGTACAGTGACACTATGTTGTTTTGTTAACAGACAAATTAAGTAAGACGTGACAAATCAACTCAAACCTGATTTCTGTGAAGACAATTCAACTCATTAATCACATTAATTCATCTGTGAAAATAAGCAGATTACATTTTTTAAAAACATTTAAATGCATGACTAGAATGTGAGAATTGTACATGTGTCATTAACCATTAACCCCAACAGACTGACACAACTGTCAAAATGATCGTTCAGGACTGTAGACTGATTATTATTGTTGGGGACAACGACTGGACTGAAGT